ACAGAATACATACTGAAAAGTGTACTGGACAGGTGACCTGAGGTTAGTTTCCCTATTCTAGATCTCATTAGGTATCAATCCTCCCACTTACATTGTGACCAGTTATTGTGAACATATTCTGTAATCCTACAACATATTATGAAAGAAAATTGAGACRCAGAATAAAGTTTAAATATTAATAATTCTTGCTAAATCTGTTTGGACSAAAAGAATTGCTTCAGTCTCAGAGGTCCAAGTTGAAATGTCTAGTACATTAGTCATTGTTGATGAATGATTAGTATTGAGCAAATGTATAAATAAACCAACAGTGACAATGTTCTGCTTTAGGTAAATGGAGACTGAGAAAATTTTAAGATGTGAAGTTTATGAAAAAGGAAAGTTTTCTGAGTCATAATTTTTGCAGTATAGTACAAAAGTACAAGAAATCCTACTAATTCAGAAATTATTATTATTATTTAATACCTCCTATGAAATTCAGAATTATTTTTTTCTTACAGTGGTCATATCTGACTAGAACACTTGAAATACCTATTTGAGTTTTAAATGATTATATCTGCAGAAGGTGAAAACTTTACTTATTATAAGTGTAGGTGATGATTTCCCCCATATTTTAGCAGCTAGAGTAACTGAAGTGAGTTGAGGAAGAATTGGCAAAGCATATGCATATTTTTCATATTACCCAGCAACTCTTGATARATTCAGCTCATTACTTTGCATGAAATCCTAGGATAGAAAATCCTTAGGAATAACATAGAAATCTGTATTCACTGATATGTAAAATAAAATATAAAATTAAAATTTATACAAAYTTTATTAATTCTGCCATATCTATAATAGTCAATTTTGAATATATTCTTATCAGCCATACCTTTTATCTGTTATGAATCATTTCTACTAAAATAGTAGGTCAATATATAATAAATAAGTCAACAGTTATAATGTAGCAAAAGAAAGAATAAAAACATAATGATTTTAGGTTTATGATCCCACTGAASCCCTTGAAATTTCCTAGGAAATTTATAAACTATTCTTATATAACACAGGATGTTTTAAAATCATGTAATTGGTGGTGATGTAAAAATTCACTGCTAAATGTTTAAACATTCTTCCCAAAAATGTGTGAGGATTGTCTCAAACATGTTTTCTATTTTAAATTTTAGAAGGCATCCAAACACTCATTTTAATACATTTAACATTAGCTTGACATTTATAAGAATTTGGAAATTTAAATGCAAGTATACAATCCCAAAACAATAGATTACAATACTAGGACTTAGTATTGTAATTACGAAAAAGAACTTAGACTTAATGCATCTCAACTTTTTCTCAGCAGAGGCATCTCTTCYTAAAGCATCTCTGCAATTAACACATCTGATTGCAGCATGGACATTTCCAGAGGCGAGGGTCCCAAAGACAATCCAGTTTGTTGCAAGCTGCTCAAAGTGGAGAGTGGAGGAGAGTGGAAGGGCGGGGAACAGGCAACATTTTACTCCATTTTATTGAATATAAACTTTCCTCTTTGTCATATTCTTCTATGGAAACCTGTTCAGCCTTCAGAAAGGACAGTTTTGTCCTTCTGTCAGGTAACAATCCTTCTAAAACTCTGAGGATTTCTTTTATTATTATCTCTCCTTAAATCTTCGTCAGGTCAAAATGCTTTCCTTGGAACATACCTCCTCTGAAAAGCTTTACAGACCCTTGACTCTTCTATTTGCCTTCCTCTGAATTTATTCCTATTTGTCAATGAGGTACCTAAATGCATCGACCAGACCTGTCTGCATCAATGAGCTCTGTATGAAAGCGAGTTAAATTTTCTGTCACTATGCCATACTATATGTTCATATTACACTTGCTACAACTCTAACTGGCCTTTCTCATCCTCTCTTTGATTCATCCCTGTACATGTAAAGGACATCATACATTTTCTGAAGAGGGTGTATAGAATTATTTAACTCCAGTTAAGAAAAATAAAATCAGATTCATGTAAGCTTAGTTCACAGTCCAAGCTGTGAAGACCTCTAAAATGGCTAATCCTTTTATTCACCAGCTTGCCACTTGCATCATATTTGGACAAGTTGACATTATGATAAGCATGGATTTTATGTCTGCCATCAAATCATTACTAAGACAGTTGAACATAAGAAAATTTCTGTCACAYTACTTGAGACTTCTCTCCAGACTGACTATGATCCACTCTGCAATGTTCTTTGCAAACTACTTTTCACTCAGTTGCAATTTACCCACCATTATGCTTCCACTTGTATGTGTTATTCACAAGAAAATTAGAGAAAAAAAGTTATTCACTGCCTTGCTGAAGTTTAGAATAATTGACTACGCCATGCTCCTATTTTGTTGATCTTAAATCTAGTTGTAGAATTTCCTTGGACTGCCACACTTGCTTATTCAGTATTATTCATTCTATAATTCAGTATTTTTATAAAAACCACATGAAATTTTAATGAAAAAATAAAAAGCAAAAAAAATCTGATTAAGTTTCTAATTCCATTACAATATCTAAAAATTGTTGCTACATATCAAAATACTTAAAAGTTGGCCTGGTACTATAAAGGAAAACAGAATTCCTACACAGTTAGTGTTTGGTCAGGAAGGTCAGTGCTAGCAYGTATAATCGAAAAACAGTTGATGATAGGCAAGAAAATACTTGTCCAACTCATATCCAATGATCCTCACTGAAAGCTTCCTTTAATCAATTAATACTATGACACCAAAAAGCAATCATGTCAAAATAAAAAAAAAGGGGGGGGGGAGGAAAAAAAAGGAAATAAGGAATTTTGAAACCATAAAAGGGAAATTTTAGCATAAAAAAATCTGGAAAGTGATTGTAATTGTTTAAAATTAAGTTATTCTTATCAGTTATGTAAGAAGTTACAGCTACTTAAAGCCTCAATTTTTAAATTGATCCTAGTGGAATAATAAGTTCATGGTAAAAACAGATCATGTATATAAGCCATTTCAAATTATAAAGACCTATAAATTTAAAGTGTCACAAAACATATTTTATATATACTTTTTTCAAGAGAGAGAGAGAGAGAAGAGAGAGAGAATTTTTTAATATTTRTTTTTTAGTTTTCTGCGGATACAACATTTTTATTTTTATGTGGTGCTGAGGATCGAACCSWGCGCCCTGCGCATGCCAGACAATTGYGCTACSGCTTGAGCCACATCCCCAGCCCTATATGTACTTTTATTATGAAGGAACTTCAACGATTTATCCTAGAGCTGACATCCAAATATATTGCAAATAGCCTATAATAATGATAATATATCTAATACAGAATACTGTAGTCTATGGTAGATTTTACATCATTGTTATTTTTCTCAAGATTTCTTATTATATAATACGTAATAATCTCTCAACATATGGCATTACAAACATTTCTGCATTCACCTCCYTATGCCTAGACTACTGAAATCACAGTTAGTTTTACCTCAAAATTGAGGTAGGAGGGAGAAAAGGCAGGAGCACATGTGTGTGCTGGGGAAAATTCTCAGGAACCCACTTGCTCACTATTCTGCATGCTTTAAGCTTCTGTCCTGTTCTAAGTGGACAGAAGGATTGGTGTTCTAGCCTCTCTTCTCTGCCAGATGCCTAACAGTACTGAAATACCGTGTATTATTGAAACACATCATGTAATTAAACAAAGGTTAATAGTTTAAAATAGTATTCTTAAAGCAGCCATTAAAGATATTCTTAAAATCACTGTCTCAAAATCTTGTTATTTGAGCCACAATGACCCCATTTAACCTCTCAGGGAAGGAAAAACAAAAAAATAAAAGAAAAAAAAAGTTATATAGTGAACTCAACGTCATTTTTATTTTATAAAATATATAAACAGTGAGTTATTATTAAAGCGAGAAGATTAGGATATATTTTCAATCTTTTAAAAAACAGTACTCCTAAAAAGTCTAGATTATAACAAGAACAACCATCAAAACTATTCGACATGGCTTTATTCCAATTAATTAGAAAAGGGATGATTATATTTCAAAACTTTAGCAAATTCAGCCTTATCCAAACTTCCCAAAGCTTAAATATTTTGATATTTAAAACAAAACATATATATTTCTTAAATAACATTTTACTTTGACTCAGGTTTCCAACTAATAGCAACGTTTTCTGAAATAATGTTACGAATTCTGTTTTAAAATGCTGCAATGTGCTTCTTTTAAAATTCATGGTAAAATAACACTTCAAAGTCTCCCAAGAGTTTCAGAAATGATATGCATATACACATTGATGCTCCGATGAGAATAATTTAAGTTACATTAAATATAACTGTTTTCCAAAGCCCCTGAAGTGTATATCTGGTCACTGTGTTTTAAAATACACAGGACTTAAAAGTCTCCTCTATATTTAAGCAAGAAAAGAAGCTTCATTACAACAAAAACAGGCTTCAGAGAGGGAATGTGATTATGGAAAAGGTGAGGCTGGAAATATTGTTAAGAAAGAAGAAAAAAAATCCACACACTTTACGACTTTACAAATCCCATTTAAATAATTGGAAACAAACTTGCTTAAAATTAAAAAAAGATGCATCAGCTGCCCTCCATAAAGTTCCAAGATGAACTACATCTTGGGGAAACCTTTCCCTGCAGGKATGGAATGTGATTTGGAGAAACTTTCTTTTCTTTTTCTTTTCTTTTCTTTCTTCTTTTTTTTTTTTCCCCCCAATTGGAAAAGTTTGCCTCTTGGAAAGAGTTCATAAATCAGTTTACAGAAAGCATAGAGATAGCAGGACCGCTTAGAAACAAATGAACAATGAAGAGCGCTCCACGTTCCTGGAGGTAATTCCCTCTACACTAATTTTCAGGGAGTTGAACGTGAACTTGCTCCACTCTTCCTCCCTCTTTTCCGAAAGCGCACTCCCTGAGGGCAAAGCGAGAAAGCGGTCCCAGCCAGCAACTCTGGGAAGAAAGGACAAGTAAGGAGCCGCGMCCCTGGAAAGGATGCGGATCAAAAGCTCCTGCCTCAACGGTACCTCTTTGCTGATGCGCCTGTGGCTGTCGAYGCTGTGGGAGTCGCTGCTCCTGGCTGTCCCCGAGGCCCCCAGTGAGCAGCAGGAAAAGGAGGACCCCGGCGGCCCCCGGCATCGTGGTGGCCCCGAGCGAATCCACTTCTCAGGAGCTTCTCAGAGTCGCTCTGCCTGGTCCCCTGGCCCTGGCTTGAGAGCTGAGTGAGCAGCAGCTGCTGGGGAAGAGGAGGAGACAGCCCTCCCTGGCTTTGGCTCAGCCGCCGCCCGAGGGTGGGGGGAGAAAGAGGACACTCCCCCACTCTCCCCCTTCGCAGGCGCTCGGCCCCACAGACACCCAGGCTCAGGCCTTTAAAGGGTCCTCCTGCAAAGACCGGATTTCCCACCGCGCGCCTTCCTCGGCGATGGCATCATTCCTTAGCTTGATCCATTACCTAAACTTCTTYAAAATTACAAAAGTTGTTGACACCAACCAAAGTACTTTGGGATCTGTGAAATCCCTACACATGGAAAACATTATTTGTGGCAAATCCGTACAGTTAGGAACTCTGGCTCCTGAGARCGTCCTGGCAAAACTGCAGCTGTTGTGAATCCAGGTAATTCAAGACCCTCCCMAGTTTCCAGAGTTCCCCCAGTGGCCCCTGGGAACCCTGAACTTCAGGCCAGGGGAGGCTATAGAAGGCTGTCAAGGCAACAGAGGTTTGGCAAAATAAAATACGCCCCTTGATCTCCTGAAATGTTTCTCATCAATATAATGCTTAGAATTAAAGCTTTCCCCTGATTCCGGAAGACATTTATTTAAAGGATAAACGTTTTACAATGGTTTCCTTTCAGATCCAAAGTTCTTTCAGTCCTAATGTCTTCCCTTTAACTCAATTTTTCCCTTCCTACTTATTATTATTATTATTATTATTATTATTATTATTATTATTTGCTTGTTATGGCCTAGATCAGTGGTTCTCATAAAATTTGAAACAGTTCTTTAAAGGGTTTAATGAAACTTGCAAGACGTCCATTTTCTGTTCAGGGATTGGGTGGACACTACAGTCATTAATGTGGGGTACAATCAGGAGTCTAGTTGTCTCTCAATGGACAGACAGTCCTACATTGTAAATTATCCCGCCTGGACTTATCAATAAGCCACTGGATATTCATGCAGATTTAAAATAAACTTGTTATATTTGAAAAACAAACGTTTCATATAAATYTTTGATGTGTGATTTTTATTTTCCCAGATGTATCTATAATATAAATTGAGGAAATACTGTATTTTGTCATTCTGTAGTTCACTAAAAGTTCTTAGATAAGTGCTTTCATTTTACTATGCAGATATCAATTGAAACAGTATACCGCTTCAGAAAATCACATCACTGGTAACAACCCTGCTCACAATATGAGTCCCCACAACATCAATGCCACATCAATTATGTTGACAGTGACTCTAGGAATAGGTGTTTCCTTCTGTTTTATTTTGCYTACTTAACTAAAGTATATTTATCTAAGCATTTTCATATTAAAATCTTTCATGTAAATGACATTTTTATTTTTATAATTAAGATAAATTGATTTTTAAAGATATCCTATTGAAGTTATGATATTATCTATGAATTTCCTTTCAGTAAAATAAAGAGTTCCTAACAGGATTATCCATCATAGAGATTTTTATATTCTTGACTTTTACAATCAAATCTATAATTCCAAGTGTATTTTGATGTTGGCTTTGAAGTAAAGTCTAAGGTAAGTTCTTTTTTCTCTTCATGCATATATAATTAATTTTGACACTATTTGTTGAGAAAGATATCATTTCCTTATCTGATTACCTTTGTTTCTTTTTCAAAAATCAATTGACCATGTATGGGTCTATTTTTGGACCCTGCATTGATAGATGGATGGATGGATGGATGAATAGATAGAYAGAAAGTTATATGCCACTATCACAGCCTTTCTTACCTAGCTTTATAGTAAATCTCAAAGTTAGATAATGTAAATCCTATTTTAGGAATTCTATTCTTAGGGTCATCATCAATATGATCSATGGGGTATAGATATTATCCTGGACACTCTAATACCATGAGCATAGGGATTACTGATTGTGTGCTTTTTCTGAAATGGTATTAAATACCATTTCAATGAATATCTGCAGTGAAAAAAAAAACAGAGCTCTTACCTAAGAATTTTGGTGAAGTTCAGTTGACTAACCTAGATGCCCATCAATTAGATAAATGGATAAAGAATATGTAGTACATATACACAATGGAATATTACTCAACCATAAAGAAGAATGACATTATGACATTTGCCAGGAAATAGATATATCTGAAAACTGTCATGGTAAGTGAAATAARCCAATCCCCCMAAAAACAAAGGTAAAATGTTCTCTATGATATGTGGATGCTAAACCACAATAAAGGGGTGGGGGGAAGAAATTCAGTAGATTGGACAAAGCAGAACAAAGGGGGATAGGAATAGGAAAGACAGTAGAATAAATCTAACATAATTTTCCTATGTACACATGTGAAAATACCTAAGTGAATCTCACCATCATGTGTACCCACAAGAATGGGGTCCTAATCAGAATTAGATATATTCCATGCTTATATAATTTTATCCAAACAAATTCTACTGTTATGTGTAAGAAGAAACAATTTTAAAAAAGAAAAAAGAATAATTGGTATCTTAAGTACTTGCTTTATACATTTTGCATATTTTTCAAATATAAAAAATAAAATTCTTAGCTGGGCCTGGTGGTGCACACCTGTGATCCCAGAAGCTCAGGAGGCTGAAGCAGGAGGATCCTGAGTTCAAAACCAGCCTCAGCAAAAGCAAGAGGCTAAGCAACTCAGTGAGCCCTGTCTCTAAATAAAATAATAAATAGGGCAGGGGATGGGGCTCAATGGACAAGTGCCTCTAAGTTCAATCCCTGATACTCCCCCGACACACCAAAAAAAATTCTTATTATTATTGTGTATGTCCATGTAATTTTTAAATGAAAGTGTCTTTAATTTATTGATGAAACTGAATATTTTAATTTTTAATGGCCTTTATGTTTTAGCACTGTTTTAGATTCACAGCAAAACTGAGCATAAGATAAGGAGATGTCTTTACAGCCCTAGTCCCTCTCACTACCTACAGCCTCTCCCACTGTCAGCCTCCTCTCAGAGGGGTGCAGTTGTTACAGTGATGAACTTATATGGAMAAGTCATCATCACCCAGAGTCTGTGGCTTACACTAGGGTTCTGACTTGGCATTGGACTTCTAAGGGTTTAGACAAATAGTATCTTACAAAGAAGACCCATCACCCTCAGTGTTCTCTGTGTTCTGCCAATTCAACTGTCCTCCCACCCACAAACACCAATYTCCACCCTTGGTAACCACCGATCTTTTATTGTTTTCTTATTTATGTTTTATTCAGAACTTCATACAGTTGGAATCTTACAGTATTTAAGCCTTTTTAAATTAACTTCCTTCATTTCATATTATGTTTAGTTTCCTCCTTATATTTTTGTGGCCAGATAGCTCATTTCTGAATAATAGACCTGAATAATATTTCAGTCTCTGGATAAACCAGTTTATTTATCCCTTCACTACTGAAGGACATGTTGGTTACTTCTGGATTTGGGCAATTTTTAAACAGCTGCTAGAACCATCTCTGAGCAGGTGGATATAAATTTTCAACTCTTTTGGGTAARTAGCCAGGGACAAAATTGCTGGATCATATCAGAAAGTTATGTTTAGTTTTGAAATACACAAAATTTTAAAACTCAGCTTGTCAATTTTTACCATATTTGAAAGGGGGAAATAAAAAAGGTCATAGTCATAGGAGTTTAATTGCAATTAGGTTGAATTCATAGATTAATTTTGGAAGAATCAATATCTTAGCAATATTGAACTTCCACTTACAAATATTACATTTCCCATTCTATTTGCTTCTTGAATATTYTAAGCTGTGTTGTAGTGTTCAGTGCATGTGTGAAAGCTRATATGTTCAATTCTTGAACATAGTTTCTAAAATTTAATCTAAATGTTTCATGTTTTTCAATGCTATTACACCTAATCTTTTAAATTTTAATTTTTATGCTAACAGAAATGGTAATTTTGAACTATCTACAATGGATCATTAATCAAAATAATCAAAAGTTTAGTAATCAAAAAGTTACTAAAATCACTTTAAAGTAGTTTAAATGACAACTCCTTAGAATTTTTTATGTGCTGGATCAAGCTATATACAAATAATTTTACTTCTTCCTTTTCAATCTGTCTGCCTTTTACTTTTTTACTTTTGTCTTTTCCTTTCTTTTGGGGCCATTTGGCTCTGGCAATGACCRCTAGTAAAAAGATGAAAACTGATAAGAGTGGACATTTTTGCCTTATTTCTGATCAGAGCAGAAAAGCAGTCATTCATGCACATTCACCAATATGATAGTGGCTATAGGTTTTCAGTAGGTGCTCAGTATGAAATTAAGGGAATTTCTTGCTTTGCTGAAAGTTTTTGTGACAGGAGTATTAAATTTTAGCAAATTGCTTTTTCTGCATCTATTTTAAAAAAGCACAATTAGTTTTGTTTGATTAACATGGTGAGTCTATGTTGACTGATTTTGTAAAACTCTCAGCCCCGGCCTAAATGATTTATTATCCCTTATATGTTGCTGGTTTAGATTTACTTGGGTTTTGATAGTCAATAATATTGTAGTATGCACCAAATTTTAGAACTCAAGTTAACTGTTATTAATACACACATACACACACACACACACACACACACACACACACAAGGAAATCTTTGGAGTGGAGATGATGGATATGTCTATTACCTTGATTTGGGCAATGGTTTCAATACACATGAACTCATCAAGTTGTATATGTTTAATTTGTAGAGTTATTTGTATATCAGTTATACTTAAATTAAACTATGGGTTTAAGAAGTATTTTATGCCTATATTCATGAAGGATATCAGTACATTCTAACTTTTCTTGTAAATTGTCATCTGAAGTTAGTATCAGAGTAATATTGGCCTTACTCAATTAGTCTGAGTAAGGTCATTTCTGCAATAGTTCATGTAGGGTTTTATAATTTCTTCCATCAATAACCGATACAACTCACCAGAGAAATTATGGGCCTATACTGTTCTTTTTTAAAAAGTTTTTTTTTAATTAAAATTGTTAAATTCAGTGTTTTAAATAGATAT